CTCTCTTTCTCTCTCTCTGCTAACACACTTCTGAGAGCAGGCCCTCCATCAATATGCAAAGACCTAGTAGAATAAAATGGAATGATCAATCTATATAATGGGACTGTTTGTTACAGCTTTGGGGGTGATTATAACTTATTTTGATCTGGGAGTCTGTGCCTGTTTGATGCAGTTTCAACTTATAGCTGAAACAGCTTAGATAGGTTTAAAAAAAAAGCTGATTATTTGAAAGTGGGGTAGACATGCTTTTAGTTTCTACTTTTTAATTATCAGCTTTTAACTTAAAAAAAACTCCACCAAACAGGGCCAATCTGTATGAAATGACCATTCACACTTACAATGGTGAATGATGATTATATTTACAATGCATTTTCCATCATTTTTTAGCAAACCAAATGTGAGAATGGACATTGTGATGAAATGATCATATTCTATTCCAGTAAACCAAACACTACCTTTTCAACTGAAAATAGTTAGAAAATGTTCAGAATTCAAAAAAAACGACATAATACATAGATTCAAGATATTCTAGTTTAAATTTCCTTTCCTTTATTTTCCTCAAGATTCTCGGTAACCAAACGGAGGGGAAGAGAGGAGATCCGAAGGAAATACCTTGCGAAGAACAGAAGCAGCAGCGAGGCAGGCACGTTTCATGGCGGACCTGAGAGCTTTCTCGTTCGACGGCGCGTGAAATCCTGCACCGACGTGCACCGCCACGAAGAACCTAGGGTTCTGATCAGGGACATCCTCCTCCGCCATGGAATTTTGGTGAGGATTCGGATAGGAGCCGTAGGTTGTGAAAAGAGTATTGTCAAAGCCGTTGTGGGACCCAGGTTCAGATCTTTTATATATATTATTATTATAAAAAAATTAGATTAATTTGATAATTATATCATAGTTAATATATAACACTTGTTACCAAAAATAATAAATGATTTATATTTAAAAATACAATTATCATTTAATTTTTTAGTTATAAATATAATAAATTTAATATGTTACGGATTGATTTTATTTATTTATTTATTTTTAGGTGATATACACAAAAGCCACTATAAAGTGAATAATTTAAATAATTAATGTAGAGCCTATGATAGATTTCATGTGCCAAACAACACTCTCTAATCAAAATCTTATACCAAATAAAAACCCAACAACTCAGAATAAGCCTAAACAACTTCCCAAATCCACCCAAGTTGCACCCCCTATAATGTCCATGCCTAGTGTGGTGCTTAGTAATATTGTCAGATGAGGTGATTCATGTAATCAATATATGTTTTTTATTTTTATTTTTATTTTTATTTTTATTTATTTGTGTGTTTTCAATTGAAAAAATCAGTTACTTTTATCTTGTGTAAAATGCAATCAAGGCAAATTTGGTGGCTTAATCCAAGAAAAGAAGGGTATTTGGTTTTGTGGATTCTTCAGCAAGCTGGACATATATATAAGTCTTGAAACAGAACTATGAGCAATTTAGAGAGACTTAACAATTGCTTTTGAGAAGGAATATAAAGACCTCATCATCGAGACCAACTCCACTGAAGCCATTGAATTGCTAAAAGTGGAATTTGTGATATGAAGAGCCTAGTAGAAGATGCGAAGTTTCTCATCAACAGATATGGTTACATAGTGCAACATGTCGTGGGAGATGGAAATAAGAATGGTGATGGGTTGGCCAAAATGGGTGCTAACCAAGATAAGGCCTTGATAGTTATGGAGGACCCCTAGATGAGATCCGAAGTTAGGTGATAGCTAATATTGTTGCCCAAAGCTACGTAAGATCAAGTTTTGAAGAACCTTGGTTTTTCTTGTAGCTATTTGTTTATGTACTTCTACTGTATTGTTGTTCTGTTTAGTTGTTATTTTCCTTTCCAAAGTACTAAAAAAAAATGTCATTTATTTTTATTTATTTATTTGTGCATTTTTAATTGAAAAATTCGATTACTTTTATTTGGTGTAAAAATAATTTTTAAAAAGGAAATTTTTTTTTTTAAGGTTCCTAATATTAAGATTTTAAAGATAAAAGATATACAATATTTTCATAGTGGTTGGAGTACCTCAATACTTTTTCAGAGAAATTTCGATCCAGAGAAATTTCGATCCAGAGAAATTTCAAAGCACATAAATTTTGTGTTATAAAATTTCTCTGGATCGAAATTTCTTTAATTTTCTCTGAGTTTTCAAATTTTCTGTATTTTGAAATTTCTCTAGTTTAAATTTTCTCAAATTTGCTCACAAATTTCTCTGTGATTTGCTTACAATTTTCTCAGTGCTTTGACCAAATTTCTCTAAGTTGCTCACAGTTTTCTCTGTGTTTTAACCAAACCAAAGAAAATTGTGTTTTAACTCAACCAAACAAAGAATAGAGAATACAAATAAGAAAGAAACCATATGATGCCATTGATAAACCTTAGGTTGATCAATCCGCTTTCAATTCAACAAAGCTTTAATTCAAACAAAGAATTAAGACTGGAAAACAAAACCCATTAAAATCCTAACCCAAACTTCCATTCCCTCAGAAGATACAATTCAACAAAAATGTGAGATCTAAAGATACAATCCATCGTTTGAGACATAACATTACGAGGAAAAAGAAGAAACAAGGATCGACAAAACGAAAATCAAAAAGCAACGAAATCAAATGAGAAGAAATGGAAACCCTAACTGGCCGAATTCATGGAGATGATGATCCTTCGGATCGTTGATGGAATCGAAGACGAAGGAGAGGTCGATGTTGGCGTCGTTCCTGACCTTCTAGTTCTTGTGCATTAGTTGATCATCCCATGGCAATTTCTTTACCTCTTTCAACTTCTCATCCTCTGACATTGTAAAAATCTATATATATGAAACGATCTCTGAATAAAAACAATGTTAGAGAGAGAAAGAGAGCGGAGAGAGAATAGTATGGTTTTCTTTGCTGAGTACCAGTGAAAGAGAGCACATTAAAATTGGAGTTGGAAAAATGAAAAAAGATTACAGAGATAGAAGGCAGAGAAAGAGAAACTAGAGTGGGTTAATGGTACATAAACGGGTGAGCGACCTAAAGTTACAAAAAAAAAAAAATAATAATAATAATATTGTAAACCTCTTTTATTATCAAAAGTTGGAGAGAGGTATTAGACTAAATATCCCTTTTAAAAATTTAAAAATAACCTTTTGAAATTTCTTAAAAAATGGGTTTTCAATTTTTTTTTTCCAAAATAATTTTTGAAAATAATTTACAATAATGCTATAATGATAATTTATATAACACATTTTGTTTATTTTGTGATGTGTTACTATTAAATTGGTGGGTACCCATATGAGTGGCATATCTCATTCAACCAATATAATAACAACATATAAAATTATAAATAAAATATGATTATCATAACATAATGTTATTGATATTATTTTATTAATTCATTTTTTAAGTTTGAGATATTTTTTCAAAATGATTTTAGGTAATGACGTGGATGCCAAGCAAATTTGCAATTTTCTAAGTACAAAAATTATTTTAACACCATGTGATTGCTGATGAAAAAATTGTAAACTCAAAAATTGTAATGAAAAAATTATTCAAAAATATCAATATATGATCCAAATTCATTTTACAAATAAACTCACTTTCAATCTACACCACACACTTCAATTCTTGACATAAATCTCAAAATGAAAGTCTGGATTCATAAACTTAAATTGTGATTATGCTGTAAACCAATAATAAAATGTCATCTTTTAGGTCATTTCTTAATCAACATAAAAATTTTACAATATTGACTAATCACAATCATCTTGAAGCACACCACTTAGTCGTCACGATAGATTTAAGTTCTTTGTCATCCATACGACAGACAAACAATCAACAAAGGACATACTGCAATAGTAAGTTTAATTAAGGCAAAAGAATATTTAAATAATATCAATTACACATTCTAAAATTATATCATTTTTATTTCACTTAAATTTAAATCATTAGATTACTACAATTAAGGGCCATTTTGGGAACAATGGTAAAAAGTCAGTTTTTTAGTTTTTTAACTTTTTTAGTAAAAAAAAGTCTGCTTTTTTACCCAAAACGACCTAACTTTTTGTCAAAAAAAATTAAAAAGCCAACTTTTTACCAACTTCTCAAAACACTACTAAGACCATTGCAGAGAGATCATGTCCCAATCCCATAGCCATAAGCACTCAATAACTGCTCTTAAAACTTCAACATAGGAGTTGTTTGATATAACTTCTAATTGAGAATTAGAAAGAATAAGTTAAAATCACCCCTTCATTGTTTTTCAATAACTTTTTTTTTTCTTTCCATTTATTTAATTTATCACTATTTCATAAGTTATAAGTAAAAATTATATCAAATACTTTAACATTAATTTCAAAATAAAATAAACTATAAATAACTCTGTAAATTGCATAAAATAAGTGGTAGACGGTCACAACACATTTTTGGTAACAGTATACTTTTCAATAAATTATTTTGAACTTTGAAGAACCGACTGACTTTGTGAAGAATGAAATCTGGATTCGAAACCAAAAAAAAATAAAAGAAGTAAATTAGTGTTGCATTATTTATTTAAAAAAGGTTCCTACCCTAACGTAACTTGCTTATGACCCTGTTTGGGAAGATAATTTTGGAATAAAATAGCCAATAAAGATAAAATAAGTTAAAATAATTAATAAAATAAAATATCACATCCAAATTATAATTATTTCATTTTTTCTCTCAAAATCATCAATTCAATTACAAAAAAAGCTAACCAACTTCCAAAACATAACTTTTTTAGTCGGGTTAAAATAGTCAAGAAAAAAAAAAACTAAAAAATCAATTAAAATAGCCACATCATAAAAATAACAATAAATTAGTGTATTCAATGCCCATCTAGAAACAATAAAAATATATGCATAAAGACTATGAGATGAATGAGAAAAGAATAAACTAGCAAATCAGAGAAAACTATATTGATGCAAGTGAAAATTGTATAAAAACTGCCTTGTGTAATTAATTACAACGTTTTATTGAGTGATTATTGAGTATTTCTAGAATACGGTCACATATTGCTCTATGATATTATGATTGGGGAGATTTTTTTTAGAGTCCCTGGTATTAAGATGTTATAATATAAAAGACATTCAATATTTTCATAATATCTAAGGTCCTCAACATCAATACAGAAAAAATTTGATCCAGAGAAATTCTCTCCAAACATTCAGAGAAAATTCAGACATCCAGAGAACTCTACATCATCATGCATTTTATATGTTCTCTTAAAAATATCTTTTCATGGAGGGTTACTATCAAAATTTTGTTTGCTAATAATTCCAATGCTCCTTGCAGGTCAAGTCCAACAAGATGAGGTGGTTGACAGTAAGATCTTGCCATGCTGTAGCATAAACAATAAAGAGAAGTCATTGGGCGAGCTTGAACAATAATTTCTTCAAACACTACAAGTAATAAAACAGATTATTTTTAGTTTGTTTTGTTTTTTTAAATACACAAATTTGTTATGTCTTAGAATTCTGCTCAAACTACAGTTCTAAAGTATTAAAATACTTATGATTGTCCTACTGATTATAGAACCAGAAGTATTATACAGCGTTCTAGATTTTGGAGGGAAAAAAAAGAGAGTAATGATCCAGAGAAAATTCACAGAGTCTAGAAAAAATTCACACATCCAGAGAAAATTCACACAGTCCAGAGAAAATTCAATCTGATTTCCTCACATACTCGACGTTTGGGCACTCATTCTTCAACCTCTGAACCTTGCCAGAGTCATCAACCTTGTAGAACTGCAAGACTGCGAGCTTGACCTTATTCTTCTTGTGTTTGATCTTTAGTCGTCCTCCAGTTGCTTTTTGATGAAGTAATCCATTTTTGAACACCTAGAGAAAATTTCAATCCATAAAAAATTAAACAACCAGAGAAAATTTCAATTTAGAGAAAATTGAACATTTCAATTCAGAGAAAATTGAAAACCAGAGAAAATTTTGATCCAGAGAAAATTGAACCACCAGAGAAAATTTCAATTCTGAGAAAGTTTCATTTTCAACTGTAACAGCCCCTAGAAGGTCCATTATCCTAATCTGAAAATTGCTCTTTCGCTTCAAATATTTTTTTTCTCGAGTGTTTTCCAAGTAACCAAAATTGACATACCTGACGGCGTTACGTTGGCCACAAAGCTCTAGAGGGAGTTTATAGTCATTGACGGCGTCGATAACACCAAAGAGACGATCAGTGATCTTCTTATTGGGCTTCAGAGAGGCCTCCGACGAAGACGATGCCCATCTGATCTTGGATACGCAGCCATGGCCCACAATTCCAATCAGAGACTATGCTAAGTCAGCAACTCTCGCGACCTTAGTTGCCATGGCTCGGCAACGTCAGAGATGATGACCAAGGAGAAAGAAACAGCGAGAGAGAGAGAGAGAGAGAGGAATGTGCACAAAGAGAGAGGGTTTGGTTTGGATAGAATGAAGATCAAAAAGTTAAAGAGAGTCAAATTTCTCTAATCTGATATATGGGTATGGGTTTAGGGACTTTAGACATCAAAAAATAATATTGTGGATCTCTTTCATTACTAAAAATGGGAGAGGACCTTAGGCTAATTTTCCCTTATGATTGATGGAAAAAGTAGGATATTATGAATTTGTGTTGGGTAATTGAAGAACATAAAGGGTTATGGTGGATTCCTGAAAGAGTATGGACACGTAGTACTCCGAAAATACTTAATAATTTTCCCTACTTATTTTGCATTAGTTTTTTTAAAAAACAATTATTTTAAATATGATATATTCTCAATAAAATTCCATTCAAAGTTAACTATATAACCATCTTCGTTTGGAGGGATATGATTTTGAGAATGAATTGACTTTCTGTAGTAATTTTTTGATTTTTTTTGGAAGGTTCCAAACACTACCTGATCGGAGAAAAGTCAAGGAATAAGCAACTTAGGTAGTAGTCATCCAAGCAGCAGCCACCATTAAAAAAAACAAAAATAAAAACAAAAACAAAAACAAAAACAAAATTAAGTAAAACTCCGCCATCAATGGAGCTGGGCTAAGGTAAGCGTAGAAAGCAACCTTGACAAGGTCCTATGGCCAACCTGATGGTAATAGGCTTAACCATGACTTTTTAAGTCAACTGTTAAACACTAATCCCATTTATAAATATTCCAATCACTACTAAAAGGGTTTTTCCAACTTTTATTAAATTCCGAAAAAAAATGGATAAAAAATGCCACCAAAAGTCTTCCCACTGCTGAGTTGCCAGCATTTTTGAAAAAAGACACGGAATTTTGAGTTAATTCAGTTGAGCTACACAACAGAACTGAACACCAACCACTAAACAGAATTGCAGTCTAACTATGTCCAAGTTCTGTAACTGATTTCTATTTTCCTAGCACTAATCACTCCAAGTTGTTTATCATTGTGATAGTAGTTGTCAAGTGAAAGTGCAGCCGAGGCATCTTAACAGACCGGTTGACTTCTCATCCTTCTTACTGTGTTCAATGTTTAAAAAAGGTTTCTTCAAAGACACTGCTGCTTGCGTTTAAAAAAAAGAAAAAGAAAAGAGAGACGGCTTCTCTCTCTGAACCATATAAAACCCAAGGCTTGATTATCTCTTTATCTTTCTCTAACTCATACACTATTCTCTCTCTTAACTTCAAACCATTACAAACAGATGCCCACAAACCAAAAAAGCCAGAAAAACATTTTAGAGCAGAGAGAGAGATGAAGCCTCTCTTTCTACTTTTACTGATATTTGCCTCCCTCTCTATATATATCTCCTAGCTCCTCATCCCCAACTTCACGCATCAATGACACATCCACAACATGTCCTCTGGATCTAAGCTATGTCCGAACACTCCCATGGCACTCCACTGATTGCCAAAACTTCAACATTTCAACCCAGCAACTTTCCAATAATTCTAACAACTCCACCCTAGGTGAACCCAAGTGCTGCCAGACCCTCCTCAGCCTCTATGGCATAGCACTGGTCCAACAACTCAAAACCACCTCTTTCTTCCACTTACCCATCTTACCCACCTCCAGTGTTTTTTAAGGCGAAAAGCGAACCGAGGCGACAAGGTCTCCTAATGCCTAAGCGCGAGGCGAGGAGGCGAGGCGAGGGCTTCATCGAATCAAGGCGACCAGAAAGGATATTTTTTTTAAATAAATGGTATAGACAAAAACATAAATATTTTCAAGAACCATCATGTAGTTATCATTCCAAATATTTTCAAGAAATTAAAGAACATATTTTAACAACATTAAAGAACATAAAGAAATTAAAATAGTTGAAATTAATTGAATTAAAATAATTAATTGAATAACCAGGAAATTAATTGAATTAATTGAATTAAAATAAACAAATTAATTGAATAACCAGGAAATTAATTGAATTAATTGAAATTTTAACACAGAAAAAAAATAATTGAATTAATTTTAAAAATTAATTTTTGCGAATTAAAAATTAATTTTAAAAAATAATTGAATTAATTTTAACACAGGGTTCCAAAAATGAACAAAGGAAGAACAGGTGGGAAGAAAGGGGGGGTTCGACAGTGAACAAAGAAGACCCAGGTGAAATCGAAGGGAAGAAAGGAGAAAGGAAGAAGAAGAAGGAAGAAGAAGGAACTCACCTGTAATCGATTGGAACGACGTCCGAAGAAGGAAGAAGAAGACCCAGGTGAAGTCGACTTCGGTATGCCTTTCAATGTCGACGAACGAAGTCGATCTAGGGTTTGGACTTCTTATTTAGTAGAAAGCAATTATAAAACTAATTAACTTTATCGATGAAGGGCCCAGATGATTCGAACGAAGTCGATGAAGGGCCCAAATGATTCGAACTGAAATCAAGCAAAAATCTGGTGAAGCGTTGCCTCGTTTCGCCTACCGCTTCATCGCCTAAGCCTCGCTTCAGGTGCTTCTCCATCGCCTTACCATTTCGCCTCGCCTCAGTGTGCGTGAAGCGCTAAAGCCTCACCTCGCCTCACCTCGCCTCACTTAGTGCTTAGGCGAGCCCTTAGGCTCGCTTCTGATAACACTGCCCACCTCCATTTCTTGCCTCTCTTACTTCCAATCCAAGCTTGACTCTCTCTCTCTCTACCCTCCGATCTCACCTCCCTCTGCTTTGACCCTCTCCAGTTTGTCATGTCCGGCAACACCTGTGCCTCAATAGAGTCAACCCAAGACTAGGCATCCAAGCTCGGCCCGTCAACTCCACTTGACTCTGCTTGCCAACCAGACCTCACCGATCTCACCTCCTGTGACGCTTGTGTAGCTGTCGGCTTCTACGCAGCCAAGTTGATCAGAATTGATTGAAACAAGTCTTACTCCATTAACTGCCTTTACTTCGCAATTCTATATGCTGCCGGAATCATCAACGAGTTTGGACCAAACAGTACTGGTTCTCTATATGCTGCCGGAATCATCAACGAGTTTGGACCAAACAGTACTGGTTCCATTACATGTATCTTGAACCTTCCACTTGGTTCTCAAACGGGTTCTTCAAGAAACAAACATTTGGCTCTGGTACTTGGACTATCTGGAGCAGGTGTTGTGGTTCTCAAATGGAATGTCTATATTGTACTTTGACTAAAAGTGTAATGGATTTACTATTGTAATTAGAAAAATGAGAAATTAAAGTGAAATTCGGTGTATAATACATGGATGCTAAGTATAATTTATCCTAGAGGTCCTAGACTAAGGGTTGGTTTAGAGGAAAAGGTGCTCCCTTACCAGATGTGAGTGACATCTGGACTCAAATCTTACTTGTTATTTAATGCAGTTTATCGTTTTCCTATTCTGGTCCTACACATTCAATTATAAAATAATAATAATAATTTACCCTTAAAAGTTACCTAAAAAAAAAAAAAAATAGAAGAAAATGTTTTGCATAGAAGAATTGGAAATCTAATAGATAGAAGAAAACTTAGGATCTATCTGAAGGGACAAGCTTTACATTTTCCATGGTGCACTTGTATTATTACTAAGTCTTCGTTTAGCATTGGCTTTTTTAGTTGGCTTTTTTGTATTGAGATTTTTTTAGCCTGGCTTTTTTAGCCTCGTTTGGTTCAGCTTTTTTGACTTTTGTGAACGAAAAAGTGTAATGATTATGGTTCGGATGCGATATTTTGTCTTATTGGCTTATGTAACCAATTTTATCTTTTTGTGCTTTTTTAGCCAAAAATCAAATGCCAAACAAAGCCTAAGAAACCAGTATGTGGAATCATGCTTTAATGCTATATCCTCAAGATCAAGAATAGAATGCAAAATTTATTAGTCTACTAGAAAAAAGACAGCTAGGCATGAATTGCAGTGTTTACCTGTTTGGTAGTGTTTTTATTTTCTTCATTTTGGTTTTTTGTCTTTTCAGGAGCAAAAACAACAGAAGGTTTTCAAATACCCATCATTTTTATTTCATTTTCATTTTGGTAAAAAAAATAAGTTCCAAACATTCAAAAACAATTTTTTTGATGTTTCCTAGAGCGTTGGTTGCTTTCAGAAATTTTTATCGAAAACAGTTTCCCAAACAAGTTCCTATATTTTCTAGAAGGTAAAACAAACAACAGAAAAGGTTAACACAACCAAACATGTGACAATATGTTGTTGCAGGAAAAAGTGGTGTTAAGGGTCCAAAATGACAACAAAAGATAACGCAACACAAGAAGATAGTAGGTGTACCAGGCCTTGCCATTGATGCAGTAACATGCCCAACTTATGCGGAGGAAAAATATTGGGTTGCTGAACTAGTAAACATCAACCAAGTTACAGGAAGGAAGAGGAAACAAGAAGGAAATGTCAGATTATCACAAAGTGAATCTAATTTCCATGCAATCAAAAAAGACTTTTGCTGAAGCACAAACTGGAAAAACATTCGGACCTGGTCAAATGGTAGTCAAATCAATTTTGCTTCCCAGATAGCGTGCTAATCGAGGATTAGAGTTTGTGGTATTTTTCTTTGGAAATTTAAATATGCAAAACAATCTATTTGTTATCCATTAGAAGAAAACCTGCATAATTCCCAAAATTTTATTCCACTGCCAAAATAAATTGCTTTACTAAGATAGATATCCAAGACAAAACAGGAAAACAGAAAAGAAAAGGTTAAGAGACAGTAGTGCATATGAAAGAAATCTCAAATGACATTTGGGCTTTAATACGCTGAATACAAATAATTGGATTCTTATTTCATACAAAAATATTGGCAACGTCTATCAATCTCTGTGATCTCATTCAAATAACAGATTGAAATTCTAATGAACACTGGGCAACATGAAAATAGCCATCACTTGAATACAGAAATGAAGCCTGTGAAGGGAATTACAGATTCAATACCCATCATTCTTTTGACTATAAATTACAAATGGCAAATAATTGAAGGCAACAAAGTTGAAATAACCACAGGGACCATTAAACCTGTTTGCTTAGGAAGAGAGCTGTACACTGCTTTACAGTATCCTCAGGGCTGGTAACTGGGAATAGAACAAGAAAAAAGTTCACATCACCATGATTATAAAATTAAAATGGCAAAAGAGGAACATTGACATTGATATCCATTTAAAAAGTATTTGGGTACTCAATGAAAATGAAACTGTTCCATCTGAACTTGCAATATTTAATCCATTTTGTTTTCCATAGCATTTAAAACAAGTACAGCCTGTTTTATGTACAAAATCATTCAGAATGTTATAAGAAAATATCATCAATTTTATTTCTTTTGTTGATGGATCCATTTTCTTTGGTAATTATCCAACTTTAATAAATGAAATAGATGCATGTAGATGCTGTTGAAAACAAAATGAATTGACTTGATTGAAGATTTTAGATTTCTTTGCAAATGGCACCATATTAACAATGCATTTGGTTCTGTAGATCTTATGGCAATAGAGAACTCCATGGTGTATTGAACTGCAAAAAAAACCTGAAATATAGAGCAGACCTATGTGCTCCATAGTTCGCTCTGATTCATATATCTCATGGTCATTTCCTCCCTATTCAAACAACATCCAAGCCCTTCGTTTAGTCCCAACCGTGTACCAAAAATTAGTCAGCAAGATAAAAAATGAACTAATACAACACAACACAAGACATCACTACAGGGAATCGAACCTTCAATAACAAGTTAGTGTCACATGGAAAATACCAAAAAAGGAAGGAAATAACCAAACTGAAGAGAGAAGATAAAATTGTTACCTTGTAAGTTTTGTCTCCAAAGAAGTGGATTTCATGAAAATCATCCACATATCTCAAGCAATAAGTCTTGTCCCAACCTTGAGGGAAAACCTGTTAAAACATGCAAGTATTACACCTAAACATAAATTCAACTGCAATGACTTATTATCATTTAATTTATCAGCTTAAGAATCATCAAAAGCATAAACAAGGAATAACATTCACTCACATCAAAAGTTATTTGTCCCCCAATGGAAAAGGTGAGCTTAAGGTGAGCAAATTTCTCGCGGAGCACAGACACCATCATAGGGCGTATGTTCAGTACCTGAATATAATTTCAGTAGAGTAATTTTCAAGAGGTCCAATCAACTGTGTTTCTCATAGAGACCCAAATTTTGAACATAATCTTAATCACAATTTAAGATATTGTACCTTGTCATACTTTTCAAACTCATCCCGTTCTTCCTGGCTGTAGTTTCGGCCAATTGGCACTACAAGAAAAAACACATTTGGCGACCAAATTTCCCGATTAAAAAGAATTTGGTCGCTGAAAGAATAGCTTTCAGCGACTAAAAAAGAATTAGTAGCCAATTGTGAAGCTTTCTGGCGACTAAACAAATTTAGTAGCCAAAAGTCCACAATTGGCGACTAAAAATAAGTTTGGTCGCCAATTATATGGGTTTTACCGACTAAAACCTATTTAGGCCTAGTTTGGGAAGACTAAATAAGTGTACTTTTTGACTTTTTATGAAATATGGGTTGGGTTGGGTTTGGGTTGAGTTTGAAGTGATGTGCTAGAGAGGTGATGTGACTTAAATAAGATGATGTGACTTAAATAGGATAGTGACTTTTTGACTTTTTGTCTTTTTTCAATTATGCCAAACTTGGCCTTAGTAGCCAAAAATATAGTTTTCGCCGACTAAAAAAAATTTAGTAGCCAAAAAGTCAACAATTGCCGACTAATTATAATTTTGGTCGCCAATTATGTGGGTTTTACAGACTAAAACATTTTTAGTAGCCAAAAGTACAGTTTTTGCCGACTAATTCAACCGGAGTAAGACATCACGGTTGAGAATCTAAAAGTTGAGCAAAGCATCAACTCATTCAACCGAAGTAAGACATCACGGTTGAGAATCTCAGTTGATTAGATCATCAACTCAATGAACCGGAGTAAATCATCTCGGTTTTAATCTCAAAATCAACCGGAGTAAAACATCTCGGTTGTGAATCTCAAAATTGAAAAGCAACAATCAGAATGCTAAGGCAAAGATGAGACACTTCTATATATTGACAAAAAGAATATTACATTTTGAAGTGTAACGCAAAAAATTCCTTTACACAAAAAGAAAACAAAAGCTAAAAATAGTACAGTTTGAGGTTGGCCGCATTCCATGGCCGGGGTATTGCTCTTCCCTTCAGGTCCTCCAAGTGGTATACCCCCTTGCCCGCCAGACCGGTGATCTTGTAGGGTCCTTTCCAGTTTGCCCCTAGTTTGCTTTCACCTGGCACCAGGGTATTGCCCATGACCTTCCTCAAGACCTAGTCACCTACTTTGAACGGTCTGGGATGCACCGTTTTGTTATATTTCCTTAACAGCTCTTGTTGGTAGGCGGCCACATGGATGAGAGCCTTTTCCCGGCGTTCTTCCACGAGGTCCAATTCCAGGGCAATGGCTTCGGCGTTCAGCTCGGGCTCAAAACTTTCACTTCTACGGATGGGCATTCCAACTTCCAAAGGTATGACCGCCTCCATGCCATATGCCAAAGCAAAAGGTGTTTTCCCGGTAGATTGCCGCGGGGTTGTTCGGTATGTCCAAAGGACGTTGGGGAATTCCTCGGCCCATTTTCCATTGGCTTTCTCAAGCCTCTTCTTCAATCCATCAAGGATGGTCTTGTTTGATGCTTCAGCTTGACCATTAGACTGTGGGTAAGCCAGGGTAGAGTTGTAGAATTCAATCTTCAAGTCTTCACAAAATCCTCTGAATAAGCGACCGTCAAATTGGGTGTCGTTATCAGAGATCAGAATTTTTGGGACGCCAAACCGCGTTACCACATTCTGCCAGATAAACCGCTTGACATCTTTCTCCTTGATTGTTGCCCAAGACTCTGCTTCAACCCATTTGGTGAAGTAGTCTGTGGCCGCGATGAAGAACTTCCGGTTGCCTGGTGCAGTTGGGAGTGGCCCCACTATATCGATCCCCCACATCGCAAAGGGCCAAGGGCTGGTGAGGGGAAGAAGTTCTCTGGCCGGTTGGTGAATTTGGTGGACAAACTTCTGGCACTTCTGGCACTTGCGAACATACTTCTGCGCGTCGGCTTGCATGCACGACCACCAGTAGCCTTGCGAAATAGCTCGGTAGGCCAAAGATCTGCCCCCTATGTGAATGCCACAGATGCCTTCATGAATTTCGTAAAAGAAGGCGTCCACGCTGCTCGGGTGCACACACTTTAGATGAGGACCGGTAAAAGACTTCTTATATAAAGCACCTGACGGAGAGAGCCAAAACCGCTCTGACTTCACCCGGACTTTATGTGCTTCCTTCTTCTCGGCTGGAAGGGTGCGGTCTCTGAGAAAGAGGATAATAGGGTCCATCCATGAAGGACCTAGCTCGGCGCAGAGTACTTCTATCTGCCCGATTTCCTCAATGCTGGGCCGCGGAAGGAATTCAATCAGGAGAGGGTTGGGAGATGTGCTATCGACCATGGAAGCAAGGCCGGCCAATTCATCTGCTCGGCCATTTTCTTCTCGGCCAATCTGTTGGACCCTTATTGCCTGGAATCGCTTGATGTGGTCTCTGACCAGAGCCTGGTACTTCATCATTCTGTCATCTTTTGCTTCGTAAACCCCAGAAACTTGGTTAACCACAAGCTGGGAATCACTGTAAACCATTAGCTCGGATGCGTGCATCTAAAGCGCGCTCTTGAGCCCGGCCAAAAGCACTTCGTACTCAGCCTCGTTGTTTGAGGCAGAGAATCCGAGGGTGATAGAATGTTCGATAGTCAACCCGTCTGGCGAAATCAGAACTATACCTAGCCCGGCACCGTGACGGTTCGCGGCTCCATCAACAAAAAGTTTCCACATTTCGCCAACAAAGAGCTTCTAACAGTCTGAGGGGTCCTGAGAGGCTTAAAGGTTGATGGTATCACGGTTGTTCGGCTGTTCGACTTCAAGTTCTGTGCTGAGCGGTTCCACTTCAACCCCCCTCGGCGATTCGGCGCCGGACTCAGCAAGTTGATCCGTAATGCCTAAGTCCGTAGGCGAATCGCCGGGTTGCAGTATTATGCAGGCTGCAAGCTCTGTGCTAAGCTGTTCAACTTCTTTCCCCCTTGGTGATGCGGTACCGGATGGAGCAGGTTGGTCGGTGATACCCAACTCCGTCATCGCATCGCCGGGCTGTGGTATTGCACTAACCGAAGGTTCTTCGGCGGGGAGCGCAAGTTCCACGTCACCGTCATCGCCTAGCTGTGTTATTGCAGTTTGGCCTGCATTTACCTCCTCATATGCCGCGGCAATATCCACCAGGCATACCAGATGAGTTCCAGGTGAGAATTCAGCAACGAAGTCGGCCAATGTCTGAGCTTTTATGGCAGTTCTTCGATGGAATTTGACGTCGAATTGTCCTAATTCAACCGTCCACTTGAGGATTCGATCGAAGAAGTCCGCCCGTTCGAACAAAGCTTTGAGGGGAAACTCGGTCAAAACGATGATTGTATGGGCATGGAAGTAGTGCGCCAATTTCTTGGAGGCCATCATCAATGCCAATGCAAGTTTTTCCAACGGCAAGTATCTCGCCTCTGCCTGTAGCAAGGTTTTGCTGACGTAGAAGATATAGGGAGATGCTTGATTCCTTCCGACCGGACAAGCACCGCACTGACCGCATGCTGTGAAACGGCCAGATAAAGGTAGAGCTCTTCGCCCAGCTTCGGTGCTACCAACAGTGGTGCTGAAGACAGATACTCCTTGAGCGCGGCCAAAGCCCGGTCACACTCTTCATCCCAAGAGAACTTTGATTTCAAAGCTTGAAAGAAAAGGCGGCAGCAATCTGATGACCGGCTTATGAATCGGTTAAGCGTGGCGGCCATGCCGGCCAGATGCTGCACATCCTTAGCCAAGCTAGGCTGCTTTAACTCTTGTACTGCTCGAATTTGTGCGGGGTCTGCCTCGATGCCTCGGTTTGTGACTAGGAAGTCCAAGAATTTTTCGGATCCCACGCCAAAGGCACACTTAGACGCATTCAAGCGTAGCTTGTGTTGTTTGAGAATGGCAAACATCTCGGCCAAGTCGGACAAGTGGTCTGCTTGATGCCGGCTCTTAACCGCCATATCATCAACATAAGCCTCCATTGTCCGACTTAGCAGAGGAGCAAACATCTTGGTCACCATCCTTTGGAAAGTTGCCCCGGCGTTCTTCAAACCAAAAGGCATGACTCGATAGCAGAAGAGTCCCCTCGGTGTAGTGAAGGAGGTGATCTCGCGGTCGGGGCCATGCATGGCAATCTGATGATAACCGCGGTAGGCTTCCAAGAAACTGAGCCTGTTATGTCCAGCCGTTAAGTCCACGAGCTGGTCTATTCTAGGCAGTGAAAAGCTGTCTTTAGGGCAAGCTCGGTTGACGGTCTTATAGTCGACGCAAACTCGCCACTTCCCATTCTTCTTTGGTACAACAACTGTGTTTGAAATCCACCGAGGGTAGTGCACTTCCTGAATAGCTCATGCCTCAAGCAAGTTCTTCACTTCCTCTGCAACTATCTCGGCATGATGCAGCGCCGATCTCCTTGTTCGCTGAATGACCGGCTTGGCTCCGGGAAAGACATTTAGGTGATGGCAAATAAAACTCGGATCGAGGCCGGGCATGTCATAAGGCGACCATGCGAAGACTTCAATGTTGGTTATCAAAAACTCAACCATCTCGGTTCTTTCTTGTGCGGTAAGGCTTAAGCCGAGCAAGAAGAACCTGTCCGGACTCTCTGTATCAATTCGCACTTCGACCAATTCTTCGACGGCTTTGTCCTCGGCCCTAGTGCCCACATCGTCAAGGACTCCTCGGTCTTCTGGTCCCTTTATCATTTGTACGAAGCCTTTGGCAGCTCGACTCCCGTTGACTGCCACGAAGCATTGCTTCGACATGACTTGATTGCCCCAAATCTCCTCAATTGCCCCCGTAGCCGAGGAGAATCTCATCACCTGATGGAAGGTCGACGCTATGGCTTGCATAGCGTGAAGCCATCCCCTTCCAAGGATCAGGTTATAAGTAGATGGCACCTGCAACACCCAGAACTCCACTTACTTGACCACGGATCCCGCTTTAATCGACAGGATAATTTTTCCCAAAGGCCACTCAGGTTGTGAGTTGAAGCCAACCAGTGGCGAAGTTGCCGAAGCCAAGTCTGTACCCCAAAGCTTGAGCTGTTTGAATGCGTCGTAATACATGATCTCGACCGAGCTTCCCTAATCGATCAAGATGCGTTTGACATCGAATTCTTTGACACGGAGTATAACCCCTAAGGCATCGTTGTGCGGCGTCTGAATGCGCTCTAGGTTCCTTATAGAGAAACTGATCACGTTTTTTTCTTCGGTCTTGCCCCTTTTGATCGCGGGCTGGACCGACAAAACTTCCCTCATGTGTTCTGCCTTCTTGATCATACCTCGGAGCTCGCATACACGCGCCGGCTCCACTATGTCGTGGATGACATTAATCACTCCTTGAGGGGGCGCCTCCAAGTCACCCGGTGCACGCGAATCAACCAGGGCTTGATTTGCCTTCACGCCCCCGTCAATGTAAAGGTCTAGGTGTCCGACTGCGACTAGCTCTTCCAAGTGTTGCCTCAAAGGCAAACAATCCTCTGTTCGGTGGCCACGCTCCCGGTGAAATGTGCAACGGTACCGCGGATTGAAACCCTTCTGTCCGTCGCCCAACTTAGCAGGAAACCGGACATAATCCTCGTCACGGATTTCACTAAGTATGCAATAAATTGGAATCTTAAAAACCGTGGTAATGCCTGTCCTGGCCTTCAACCTTCTGTTTGAATCAGCGACGTCATCCTGGGGGTAGTCATCTTAGTCATTCCGACGACCCCTACCGCGATTTTTGCGATTTGAGCCACGGTATGATTCCTCTGCGCGATCATTTGAACGGTTTGCCTCCTGTCCCACCGCGTGTACCTTGCCAGCCGACCTCTTGTCTGTTGCTACCGGTGTTGCCTTCGCGGTAAAGGCTGCCACATCATCGTCTACTCGGATGTGCTCATTGATGCGCTGCATTAGCTGGCCCATGGATGTCGGCTGGTGCATCGTAAGCGAGTCCCGCAGTCTATGTCCGACCGGGAGACCACGCTTGTACTGCGTGATTGCAAGGTTGACCGAGCAATCCAAGATCTCGTTGAAGGTTTCCCAGTATCTGGAGTTGTATGCCTTAAGCGTGTCGCTCGGCTCCATCTTGACACTGAGAAGGTGGTCAACTTCCTTCGACGTCTTAGTGTTGATTTTGAAGCGCGTCACAAAGGCTTCCGCCAACTGATGCCACCTTTCTATGCTCCCCTTCGGCATCCTCTCAAACCATTTCAAGCTCAGCTCGTCCAAGCTTGACGGGAAGATAAGGCACATAAGGGCGTCATTTTGCCTATGTCCGGCCATGACCTGTCGGAAGTGACTTACATGCATATAAGGATCGATTTTTCCGTCGTAGAGCGTGAACTTTGGCTGGTGGAACCCTGCCGGAAGCGGTGTTGTTTCTATCTCCAGGGAGAAAGGGGTGGCGCTCAGCCTTGCCAAGTCTGTGTCTAGAAGGAGTGGCGCAACTAGGCGGGGTGGAGGCATTCCGACCTCTTCACTGGCGTGAACCCCATAAGATAGCCACTGGAACGCCGGCACCCTCTAAGCCTCCTGCCGGCGAGCCCGCTCCTTCAAGGCTACCCACAAATCCTCTAAACGAGCGGAATAAGAATACCTCGATGTCGTCGCCGGACATGAGGGTTGATAGGTGTTGTCTTGCGCGCTGGACTTCTCTACGTGCGCGTCGGAATCTCCAACCTTGTAACTTCTGGTGATTGAGATGGACGAAGTACGCCGCTGGCTCTGACTGCCTGAACGGCGGGGTTGGATGCGCTCACTATGATCTTCCACTCCAGCTACACCCTTCCCTTTGACATGCCGCTTAAGATCCTCCATCTCCGCCGCCATTTGCCGAATGACGACGTCTTGGTCCCTTAGCTTGTGTTCCAGTCATCTGGCATGCGATTCTCTCCGCCGTCGGTGACCGTCTAGACTTCGTGAATGACCAAAGCTTCTTCCGCGCTTATTCCGCGCGTCTCTTGAATGTCCTCCTGAAGAAGTTTCCAGGTCCGCCATAGGAAGGATGGCTGGATGTCCTCTCCGTCTGCCTGACTCAGGGATAACTCCGTCGATGGCAGACAACGGAATCTCGTCGTTGTTCGCCATGGACGGCGATCAGATGAGCCTGAAAGACAAGGTTTTGTCTGTCAACATCCCACAGACGGTGCCAATTGTGCGGGGAGCAAATATTCAGGCAAGCCCGTACTCCTTTCTTCCATGCTCCTGTCTGTCCGATCGACCTGCGAGTACAACGGCGGTGAGCTACCCGGCGATGTGTGGCCGAAAAATCCCTCCGACGATCAAGTTAGCACACACACACAGGGATAGAGAGAGAGGAGAGAGTTGAGTGTTTAGTGTAAATCTCACCAAATGTTCATCTGCCTTAGCGTGGGGGACGCAGACTGGCTTATATACCTTCTGCGCCCCAAATCTACTCCCATTAGTCTCTCGACACGTGGTGCTGCTATCCCATCTGTCAGCACAAATCTAGCTGAACATCACCTAACTGCCAGCCCACACCACTAGGAGATCGGCAGCCGGGCTGCAGCATCTCGACTGTCAACGGCCATGCTGCGCAGCTAGCCAGAGCGTTCCGCTCGCCAAGCTCAATGACGACCGATCTCGGTTGCATTCCGGCTTAACCGAGCTCAGGATAAGTCATGCTGGTTAGCCGTCGGCCTTCCTGCCAAGCCAACGCATGAACCGTGGAACCAGTGAGGCAGCGGACATCTCAGCCGAAACTCACTTGACCGCTAGTACGACATCAATTATGCAACTATGCCATTACCGAGCAACTATGCCATTACCGAGCAAGTAGCTCGGTTTCACAGCAACTGTGCCATTACCGAGCGAAAATCCTTTCTAGATGGGCCCAGGTTGCCACGGCCCAAATGTGTTCGGCCCACAATTCGTCCGGCCCTTACCACAGCCCAATCCAAACCATAAATCTCCCTCTCAATTGGAAATGTTAGCAAATATTTATTGTTTCTCTACCTTTTTCAGACCTAAAATGGTTCAGAAGAGAACCTAAAGAATCTGTCGTATCAAGGGATTATTCAATAGCATTTTCCATTGAAGAGTCCAAATTATAAACCCAATTTTCCTACATTTTGTACAATTATGTCTAAAATATTTAAGACCTTAGTTGTTCATAAGAATGGCGTGAATCATTGTCAAAATATTTATAGAAGTATCATTTGAATCTTGGACTTGAGATAAATAATTTCGGTAGAGATTTAGATAATACCTCGGTCCCAATGAGCTTCCCATCCTAATAGGCCACAACACCATTTTCCGCAAATACAATCATAGTCATTTATAACTGCACATATAGCGAACATGGAGTAAAAAGTCAAGTAGTCAACCACAATATTACTTCTAAAGAACTTTTGAAAGATAGAATGTAGGAAGACAAAGAAGACTAAAACGGAAAGCTTAAAGAAAATGGAGCAGTGAAGTTTATACGGCATCAAATCATATAAACAATGTGATTACCCACAAGGCAAGAACATACAGTCCACAAGAAACATTACCTTGTTTGGTTTTAGAAAATTGAACCCACTTTTGAGAAAATTGAATTTTTGTTTTCTATGTTTTTTTTTTTTTTAGTCAAAATTTTTAATATTTTAAGAATTTTTTTTATTTTTTAGATGCACTTAACTTAAAATATTTAAATTTTTTACTACAAACAAAAAAAACTCAATTTTCAAAAAATCAATCAAAACCAAACAAGGTAATTGAATTTTCCATAATTTAACTTGAAATTTTAGGAGTGAGAGTTTTTTACCTAATCTGACAGATTCACAAACTGATTAGAATACACACTAACAATCTCCATTAATGTTTCTATGAAGTAAAATGTTTCCCAAGTGATGTTTCCTACTAGTATGGGGTAATAAATATCAACTAATTTTTCGACTTTGAGATTTTTCTTAAACAACTGACATGCACATCAAAGAATAATTATTTGCTTCTCCTTTTGTTTGTCCTTTCATGTAAGATGGAGTTACACGTGAGAGAGGGTGTTAGATAGCTTGATATACATTATTGGGCCTATTTCCTAGTAGCTTAAGTTTTTGGGAAAATTGGTAAATTAATTAACAACTACATAAAGTAGCTCATCAACCTCCGGCGACATTGCTACTACCACTGTATGTAACCCTTCTTTACTCTACTCATCTCAGTCCTGTGCGAGAAAACAAAGCCAAGTTTGACACAGATCTCACACCTGTACCTGTGTCATGTTATGTCGTGTCAACACAGATACTCTGCCGTAAATTGGCGCGAGTCCATGTAACACAAACAGCTAGGATAAGTTTGTACATAACATCAAAGGATGGTAACGAACCATTCTATAAAACTTGGTTATTAGTTTAAGAAACAATAGCCACAAACTATTAGGGGTAGATTGGTAATTTTCAATATTTCTTTTGGGGGAAACTATAATGCTTCAGAATCAACAAAACAAGTTGTAAAGTCGGAGAGCAAGCAAAATGACTAGATAATCCATTTCTCCAAGATTTTCTAAATATGTTTCGTAGTATTTACCTTTTCTGCTCCTTTGCTCGGGGGATAGTTGGACTTTAACAGCTAATTCAACTAGCATAAGGCTTTTTCAATCAAGATAAAGAAGACATGAGGGCTTGTGTGAATAGGTCCTAAATCCTGAGCCATTCAAAGTGATTTCACGAGCATGGGATACAAATCCATGACCATACACTTTGCAGCTAGGTAAAATAAAAATAGTGTTAACAGGAATGGGAAAACAAAGATCTTATGTCCTCCACCATTTCACTTAACCAATAGTCGTCATACAATACAGTTCTTTCCTTCTAACTTCAATCAACTACTGACAATGACAGCCTCCACTCCACATGCAGACTCCAGACCCTGATTAATCTAAGCATCCCTTTTTATGAATGCTACTATTAGAACCTACCTAATTTCTTTAGACCCTCCAATTCTCACCTTTTTTTATATTACAATTATACCCATCTATATATATTCCATACCAATCTAAACCCTAATCGTATTCTTCTTCATCACTATCCTAAACCCACTTATTCATCTTCAATGAAAAACATTTGAAACCACCTAATCAATTAAGGTTTTCTTTTTATGAATGCTACTATTAGAACCTACCTAATTTCTTTAGACCCTCCAATTCTCACCTTTTTTTATATTACAATTATACCCATCTATATATATTCCATACCAATCTAAACCCTAATCGTATTCTTCTTCATCACTATCCTAAACCCACGTATTCATCTTCAATGAAAAACATTTGAAACCACCTAATCAGTTAAGGTTTTGTTTGGTGGTTTCAAATGTGTTCGGTGTTCCAAATCAGTTAACGTTACAAACAATCTTATTACAGATTCCGAGTTTCTACATTTGTGGTCGTTTCACCATTCATTGATACTTATAGAGCAATAAAGGAGGATGACAACAACTCTGATGAGGTTGATATTGCATTGGTAAGTTTTTCTATCTTGCATTTACGATTCTTGGTCGTTTTTTGTTCGGGTACTGGTTTGCTGACTATTAAGATTCTATGCAGTAATACAGTGTTGAAAAGAAACATTTAGTTCAGTAATACAGTGCTGAACATAAACATTTTGTTTGGCACTGGAATATAGGATTTTTGTCCTATTTCTGTTTTTCCTGAGGGTTTTTCCCTTTAAAACCCCCTGTATCGAGGGTTTTATCCCGAAATAAACAAAAAAATAATATGTGATAGGGAGTTGTAGGTTGCTTGAGAGAAGAAGAAAGAGATCGTCGAAGAGATTTTTGACGAGATTTTAGACTAAGATACCGTCGTTTACGGTGACAAGGAAAAAGAGACCATCGTTTATGAGAGAAGGAGAAAAGAGGGAAAATCGATTCATCTCTCAATCATTTGTTGTTCTCAATCGTCTTTCAGTCGTTCATTGTTTACTAAGAGAAGAAGAGAAAATGTGCAAAATTAGGTGAGTGTGCACTTGGGTGTGATAAGATTATGAATATAGGTAAAATTAGTATTAAGTGGAGTATTTAAAGAAACCTTATTAAAATTTAGGATTTAAGGTGGGGGTTCAAAAAAATGAGGGGCCCAAAGAAATTAGGTAGGTGCTAATAGCAGCAATCTTTTTTATTACCCCAATGATGAAAGCATCCTGATGAAACTTGCAACTTTTGGCATGTTATAACAACATAATCCAACAACGGCATAGTCACATCATGACATTATGATCAGTGCTTTAAAAATCGGATCGGTGAGCGAATCGAAAATGGAATCTGGTAGATGGGTCATTGGTTCAACCGTCAGGTTAAACCGTGATGTCATAATTATTTTATAAATATATTAAAATTATTTAATAATTATATAAGAATTAAAATACATTTATTTAAATTTTTTTAAAATTTATAATACATATATAATTATATAAATATATTTATATTTATTATTTGTAAAATATATTAATTATACATGATGTTTGGAAAAAAATGTAATAAAGATATAAATAATGAACACAATAAATAAAATATATGGTAAATTTATCAACAAGGAGCATTGTGGTTTAGTGGAAAGTACTCAAACATCTTGCTTGAGGTCTTGTGTTTGAAACTTGGCAGTTGCTTTTTGCGTAAGTGAATGCCAATTTCCAACCCGCAGAGCCGGTGCTGGGTCATCCGGTTGAACCACGAGTTTGACTGGTTTAATTAAAGGAGGCCGATTTTCAAAGTGAAACAGGTGCAAAGGTATATTCGGACCTGGGGCTGCAAACAAACCGAGTTGTTCTCGAGCTGGCTCGGCTCCGGTTCAACCACAAGTTTGACCAGTTTAATTAAAGGAGGCCGATTTTCAAAGTGAAACAGTTGTAAGGGTATATCCAGACCTGGGACTACAAATGAACCGAGCTGTTCGCAAGCTGGCTCAGCTCGGCTCGTTAAGGGCTCAGCTTGACTTGTTTAGTAAACGATTCGACCTCGAGCTTGAGCTCGAGCTCAAATAAGTTTAGCTCATCAAGCTTGGCTCATTTATCTTTATTTAAATTATATATTATTTAATAATAATATACAAATATATATAAATAATAGCATAAATACATTATTTATGTATTAAATAATATAAATAATATTTTTTATTTAAATAATATAAATAAATAAATAAATAAGATCTTATCGAGCTGAAACAGAACTCAAGTTTCATTAATATTAATGAGCCAAGCCGAGCTCGAGCTGAGTTAGTCATTAGGCCGAGCTCAAGCTCAATAAAGGAGCTCGATAAGTAAACGAGCCAAGCTGGAGCTCAGCAAAGCTCAGCTCGACTCGTTTGCAGCCTTATCTAGACTGGAACCTAGACCAGTCATACGGAAGTCCAGTCCGATTTTAAAAACATTGATTATGATCTTAAATTAAAGATTCATAGAGGGTTATATTGCATTGACTTGACTCCAAGTGCCACGTGCAAGTACATGTATAGGTGTTAGCCTAACTTCAAATTCTTAGGACTTGCGCACTCAGATGAAAAGGTTCCAATTAGTAGGATACAAGTATAAACATCTTGCAAACCCACATACTGATGCGAAATATAAGAAGCTCAAGGGAAAATAAATTCAAAGAAGTCACGATATTTTAAAATTGGCATAAGTTCAAAGAGAAACCGATAGGAACAATATATAATCACGTTTCTAGTATTATCAATCTTATTTTTATGTTTTCTATGATTTTTAGGTCAGTGGTATTTTGATAATTTTTATAGTTGATGACATGGGCTGTACGGGTCACTCATGGGTTGTCTTGTAGATCAAGTTATTTAATTGGCTTTTATTCAAGTAAATTACACTAACACCCCCTCTATATCTCTAAAATCACACTGTCACCCCCTCTATTCTCTAAAATATCATTTTCCTCCCTTGCTTTGAATTTTGAAGTAACAGGAAACCCCCTACATCAGTCAAACTGTTTGTTGACTGAACGGAATTTACTAACGGTAACCAACAAAAATTTAAATACCCACTTTACCCGTATTATTCTCCCTTCTAACAAGAACACACTATTCTCACAACCAAACATCCCTCATATTTTTTCATTATCCTCACAGCCAAACACAAACTCTTCTGTTTGACAGCAGCACTACAGCCCTTCCATCTTTGCACCATGGCCTTTCTTCATCATCTTCACACACAAATACAAACTCATCTCCATTAATGATCAACTCAAATACATACATATATATACACATATACATGGATGGAGGTTTTCGACAGTGAATGAGGGATCCGATCATGTGGTTTGAAGTGGAGGAACAACAATGAGGGAGTCGTCGGTGGTTGAGATTGCAGTGATCATGGTAGAGGGTGGGGAGGGCAGCGATCATGGTGGAATGGTAAAAGGGAGTGGTGGTGGAAGGAGACTAGGGCAATGATCAAGACAGAGGGTGAGGGGATGGCAGAAAAGCAGGGGGCTATCACGACTGAAAGGGTAAAGGAGATGCCAGTGGAGGGAGGCTATCGTAGTAAATAAATAGATAATCAGGTTTCAAGTGAAGGACAAAATCATGCTCTCCAATTTGCAGGCAATGGGAAGGTGATGATGCATCCACCCTAACCCCATTGCTATGGTTATATATATACAGGGCCGGCCCTGAGATTTGTGGGGCCTAAGGCAAACTATGAAAACGGGACCCCTCTAATGTATATTTTTTTTAATAAAAAATTTATGCATAAAATGATAAGTATCCACAAATTTTTTTTTAAGCATGGCTATAATTTTTTATTTAAGTATGCCCTGAGATTTGTGAGGCCTAAGGCAAATTTTTTATTTCAAAACTATACTTACTAGGAAACATGGTTATAATCACAAACACTTCAATCCACAAATCACAAACACTTCAAATTAATCCACAAATCACAAACACTTCAATCCACAAATCACAATCCACTGATCTGATAACAAATAAATTATAAAAAAACAATTTAATGAAACAAAATTAGGGCAAAAAAATTATTCAATTAAAGCTGATAAACACCTAGGTAAAAAAATTAGGGTTAAATTATTTATTCCACTAAAATCTAATGGATAAAGAAGGTAACAAAAAAATTAGGGTAAATTTATTATTCTACTAATTGATAGAGTAGAATACAGAAAAAAAATTAGGGCAACTTTATTTAATAAAATCTGATAGTGAGAGACAGGACTTACCATGAGAGAGAGTATGTGTGAGAGAGAGTGAATCACCGAAGGAGTGTGTGAAAGAGAGAGAGTGAGTCGCTCACAATGTTGTGCTCTGCGTCTGCCTTCAACTTGGTGTACATACTTTCGTCTTCATTTCATCACTTCGTTAAAGAGAGAGATTGAAAGCAGAAGCACACTAGCAGTGCACTAAAGTGATGTTGTATATTGTATGTATGGTTTGGGTTGGGCCCAAACACATTTTCTGTTTTTTTTTTTTTTATATATATTTTCATTTTAATAAATATGGGCTAAATTATACATGGGTCCAATAAAACATTTTGGGCCCTTTAAATTGATCTTAAAACAAGAAAAACAAAAACAAAAAGTTGACCCTATAACAATTTTTTAAATTTTGGGGCCCTATTTTTGGGCCAAAATTTGGGGCCTAAGGCACAAGCCTTACCTGCCTTAGGTCAGGGCCGGCCTTGCCAATTGCATCTTGGGTCTGAGATTCCCATGGAATAGAAGCACCAATTTAATATTTTTTTATGCAAAATTTCGTTAGATTAAAGCACCACTCTAATCAATATTATCAAATATGAAACCCACAAACTGTGTTGGGTGTTGATGGTGGAAGAGTTGTTGAAAAGAAGGGGTTGTTGGATGGTGGGAGCTCACAAGGTCGGAGCGAGAGAAGGGTTTGCTCATCATAGTGATGGTTGTTCTAGCTGGTTGGAGATGCTTGTTGATGCTGGTTGAAGATGGCAAGGCACAGAAGACTGAGGGAGAGAAGGGGATTTTTTTTTTTTTTTAATTTGCACTGTGTTAGACAAGGGCAATATAGTAAATTTAACTGAAGTTACCACTGTTATCTGACAGGGTAGGTCAGTGATATTTTTAATAATAAAAGGGGTGACAGTATGATTTCAAAGGTACAGAGGTGGTGTCTGTAATTTATCCTCTTTATTTGTTTCTTATTTGATCTTAAATTGGTTTTAGAAGTCTGTAGTATTTTTCAGTAATTTTCTTTTTTTGTTCTAGTTAGAATAAGAAGTGTCTAAAATCTATATAAAGCCATATAATGCTTCTCGTTTAATAGAATTAATATTTTATACAAAAATTTAGACTTTTGAAGCCTCTTTTGGGTTTGTGTGATACAACCCTAACCCTAAATATGATGCCTATGGAATCTAGATGCGATGCCTAGACTTCTTCTTTCTTTTTCTTTTTTGTTTCAATTTACTGTTCACGAGCTACTATTCACAGCTCCTAAACAGCCCCTGTTTGATCTCTTTCTCCTGGTTTATCAATCCTAAACCTCGCTGATTCCATTCATTAATTGAAACCCTAAAATTCCACTGATTTTTAGCTTTAAACCACCATAAAAAACCCACAGAATTTCAGTTCTAAAGTCCTCACAGCGATGTCCTGCATTACATACATAATAAGTTCTCAATGGCGTAAGATGTATCTAAAATAATTATAAAACATTTGGGGTTATTAAAATGTAAACTTTATGGTGCGGGGGAGAAGTGCCAAATATGATCTATTAGTAAGAACAAGCTCTTCAGTATAAATCAAGGATATGGATGTGAATTTTCTTTAATGAAAGAGCACTGACCAATGTCATCAAAACAATATAACTTAATATTGATTTAAATAAAATCAACACTCATCATAAAAGATAATAATCCTAGGACAATCAGTGCCACAACCCCTTACCCACCCCCCCCCCCAAACCACAATTCACAAACCCACCAATATATAGATTTCTGAAGGCTCTTAAGCTTGGTATTCGAGTTAAAATACCAAAGATAAAATTAACAAAAAGGAATGAGATATCTTGAGCCCAGAGAAAAAATTTAAAAAGCATGGCATTCAAATTCTTCCAGCATGACAATGAAAACTATAGCTACAGCCATGCCGAAAACAAATATCAGCACTAGTATGTAAACATGAACCAACAACTGGAATGATAATACAAGCTTCTTATCAGAATTAAACATAACTATTCACAAAATCAAACCAAAAGAAATGCTACAGTTAGTTTGGGGACATACAGGACCAGCAGTTTTACGATCAAGAGTGATAGCAAAGTATATCTCATTGACCAATGACAACTTTTTGCACACGTAAACCAGTTTCAGAGAACATAGAATTATTCGATGTTGAACAATTAATTTCCAGATATCCGGTAGACCTAATAATAACAAATTAAAATTGTAATGCAGGTTAGTAAGTAGCAGAGAAGATAACAGTCATTGCAAGATATAAAATTTAGGGGAAAGAGATCAAGCAGGGGTTATCAAATTTGGTTTTAATTATTTTCCAGCATCATTTCTGTTGTGTTCAAGTGTTTTCCTTAGTTTTCTCTTTAATGTTGTGTTTGATTGGGGGATTAGAGGAGGGATTTGGAAAGGGAAATGGAAAAGGTAGGTGAAATGTGAATAAAATATACCTAAATTTCCCCTAATTTCACACACCTTTTCCCTTTCCTTTTTCAAATCCCTCCCCAAATCCCCTAACCAAACATAGCATAAGGGTCTGTTCAATTAGAAAGAAATAAATAATGGAAGGTGAAGTGAAGGGAAAAAAAATGGAAAAGAAAATATATTTTTCATGCATACATTTGATTAGGATGAAAAATTTGCAAGGAAAGAGAGATCAGGAATTCTAATTATAAGTAAACACTTTTATGAACAAATTTAAACTTCCTTGTATTTTCTTTTTTTTTTCTTTTTTTTTGCAAGAAACTAAAAGTTTAGTTACCATGCTAATATGAGTTGCACAAAAAAATTAAGGCTCTGTTTGGTAGAGATTAGGAACTTTAGTTCCACCCTTTGGTTTGCACGTGGTGTTTTGCTTATAATTTTAAAAAATTAATTTCACACTCACTTTTGAAAACTCTATCCAAGGCGGAAAAAATTGGGCTAACCCGTCATCCTCTCGGACATCCAGCCGGTTGACTGGAACAGTGCATAATTTTTATTTTTTTTATATTTTTTTTTTACAATTGCCACCTGTTATTTTTTATATTTTAAATAAAAAAATTCGGAATTTTTAAAAAAAAATTATGAGCCTTGAATAGAATTTTGAGTTGTGTGTTTAGTTATGAGTTGTAAGTTTTTTGTATCAAATATCAAATGTTACATCAAAAATTTCCCACTCAATTCAAAACTCTTTTCAAAACTTATTCACCAAACAAATTTTCTACACTCAAATTATAATTCCAAAACTCACAAACTCAAAATACCACTCTATTCTCAAATTATATTCAGAAAATCTTACCAAACGCAACCTAAGTTTTTTTGTAACTTCCACCACTTTCATGTTAATTAAACTCATAAAAGGTTTTATTTTTCCGACTTTCCCTCACTTTCCACTACTTTCATCCAAACCAAACTTAGCCTCAAGAATCCCCATTTTTATCTTCTTTGTGTTTCCTTCTTTTTCTTTTCTTTATAATATGACATCCACCTCCTTATAAAATAGGCAGAGCAGATTAGTAAGATATGTGGCAATGCCATCTAAAGGTTCCCTCTGTTTTGAAGAAATATAAACAGAAATTATTGCATAATCACATGCATGCCTTCCCCATATGAAACCTCCAATTTGATCTTGCATCTCCTCTCGCGTTCAAATTAGATTGGTGCCCTCTCTCTAATTCAAATTTCAAGGTTTCCATATTCATGAAACTGCAGCCAAATTTATTTTTTTTTGGGTAAGTGGCACCATTAACTTATGGTGCCTCTCTCTCTCTCTCTCTCTCTCTCCAATTTCTTCTTAAACAAAACAGTTCCCAAATTATATGATATCTTCAAGCCACAGAAAAAGACGGTAACATGAGAAAATGGTAGCATAAACTGCTAAATTTCCAGTAAAAAGAAGCTGGTGATGGTAGCAAATAAAAATAAAATAAAACAGGCCATTTTTCAAACTCTCGTCAAATCAAATAAATAAATAACATGAAACCTAATTACATTAACATACTCAAACTAGTTAAATTGATACTTACAAGTGCAGATAGATCCAGTTACTACAAAAAATAAGTAAAAAAATAAACTGATGTGATACTGATAACTGGTTCAAATGCATAAGAGACAATTCAAGTCCATGACGATGAATCTCAAAATAACATTACCGTGCTAACATATGGTATGCATATAAGAAAAACAAACCTTGCTGACAACTTTTCCCTGAGGCCTAGTTTGCTTCGTAACAAGAATCTGTCCAAGCATCTTTCCTGCAGACAATTAAAAAAAATATAAGCTAGAATTTATTAGAGTAATTATAACACAAAAATAAAATCAGTTTAAAAGTTTGGATCACAGTTGGTAATACTGTAGAATCTTAACCAAATACCTCCTGCAACACTTTTTCAAAAATCATTTAAATAATCAAACAAATTTTATAAATATGTTCAAGTTCAATAGCTTTGCCCTTAACATTAGGAATGTCAAATGCACAACAAAGTTTTATCTAAAGAACCAGTATCAGATGTTTATGTGGCACAGAGTGCAGTAGTCTTTCAAATCAACAATTAAGAATGTATGTACCATATTTCAGCAGTAATTCAAATAATAAAAGAAAACATTTTGCAGAAAGAACGCTACCATAGGTCCATAACTAACCACCCATAGAAAAATCACATCAACCACCACTCAAAATATCAAAATATCAACATATCAGAAGAAAACCAACTTCCAATCAGAGTGAGAGGTATTGCAAACTCGACCCTAAAATTTCAAACAGCAGGTACAAAGAGGATACAACAAGACGACAAGAATGCTGGTTACATGACCAATTTATTGGACGAGCAGGTTTTTTTTTTTTTTTTTTTAATCAGCTTGGACAAGCAGGTTATTCAAGTAAAATAATGTGCATCAGAAAAAAAACATCATTATACAATTCCTTTGCGACTTGTCAAGTCACTTTAATGGTTCTTTCAACATATTCTGAGCTTAAGGCTTCTTAAGATTTCTCAAACCGAACTGGAAAAAGATAGGGTAGGTAGACACTAGAACATGCTAGGGTTGTCTTAAATGTTCAAACAAAATCAATAGAGATCAGGCATTGTTACACGATCAACACTGAATGCCTTTCAACAATGTGCACAGGTCAGAGACCTAGATGTAGATAATAGCAAAGATCATAGAAAATATAAACAAAGGAAATAACAATTTCTATAGCATTTTAGAGAACAAACAAGTTACAAAGACAATCTTCCATACCCGCTATCTCTTCAACCTGATCAACCTTAACAATATGAACACCACCCTTGAAGCCATTTTTGAAAGTTTCCAAGCCTCAACCACCAGCAAGGATCTGACTTTTAACAACCAACTGCATAGAATCAAAGTGAATATCTTTTATTTACCTTTCTCTGCTTGATCATTTACCATGAAAATGAAAAGAACAGAACTTTACACTCAAAACAATTGTGGAAATAGTTTTTTTCAAAAAATAGTCATAAAAAGGCACTTAGAGGTGCCACCTACACTATAAAAAAATAAAAACGAAAGACCTAAAATTTCTAAGCATAACCTATTTATTAAAAGACTATGAAGTCCAAAAAAATTGTTCAAGAATGGATTAGCTCTTTCTGAGAGAGATAAAATTCTACTGTTTAACCAAAAATTAGGTTCACATTAAAAGTCCTATGATTGCATTAATTTCAGTGTACTTCCCAAACTGATTCCAAACAAAAATGTATGCTATCAAAACTTATTATTAAGCACTCAAAAATAAATAAATAAATATATAGGCACTCAACTTAGAGAAGCAACGATGTGTGGCCTAATTAAGTTGAGTTTTTCATATCACTGTAAAGCCAAGGGACCATGATTTACAAGCATCAAATTTTTGTTTGGAATATAATTTTCACGGTTCTGCTTAGTATCCAAACAGAAGGTTAACTTAACCCTGGATTGAGACAAGCATATATTGTTGCCCTTCAGTATGGAATTCTAGAACAATTACCTCACTTTCGCTGGGAAATACATCCTGAATAGCCTTTCTGACTTCTTGAACCGAAGAAACAGCTACACCTTTTGGAACATTTACTCCAAATTTGCCCATCAACTCAGCTCCCTGATATCATGATCATAGAGCATCACTCTCACACAAAAACAACAATGTCCACACCTAAAAGCTGTAAAATTTCATTGAATTGCACTATCTACAACATACACACACACACACAAAGAACTAGCAAAAATTGATCAGGTTGTCTAGTCAGTGTTGCAATCATTCATGACCTGATCTGAGAAAAGGACTAAACTATTAAATAAATAAATAAAAAGAGAAGAGAATAAATCTTAAAACTTTATTGCCGGTCATCTAAGCCATGAATCACTGTTTTCTTTTATTGGAAATCAGAAGTGTGTAAACTATGAGAATTAAGATTTAATTTTTTTCTTCTTTTCTTCATTTTTCTCGGGAACCAAACAAGAATGTGACCTGATCTTTATGGATGTTGAGACGGCGGAGCTGTTGTTGTTGCTTGCTGCCATTTTCCGGCGACGGAGAGAGAGCGAGAGACGAGTTTGTTAAGCAATCCTCTCGCCATTTTCAGAGAGAGAAGATGGAATCAAAACCCTAGAAAGAAGAAAGCTCCGAAACCCAGAGCGAAACTGAGACTGCGAGTGCCGGAGGCAGAGGCCGGAAAACAGAATGGCAGGCCCTAGCTTTTCTTCTTCTTCTTCGAGCACTTTCAATAGTACTC